TCGCGTATTTTATAAGTCTCACAACTTTTTGACGACACATTCATCAACTTCAAACAAAACATACTAAAAATCTGATTTTAATTCTCACCAAACAAAGGTTTAATAAAGTTCATAGAGCGACCATTTTTGAAACATATGACGAGTTTACTGAGGAAATTGGTTGGAGCAAAATTAGAGAAACTTGAAACTCTACTTGAACTTCATTAACCATCCGTAACAAAACAACTATAAAGTGCAGTAAAGTTAATAAGTTATCATAAGTAAAAGTTGAGATTATCACATGCAAAAAACATTCAATCTACACTAGAGTCAAGTCATTCGTGTATCCTTTTCAATATCATTTTCTCGTATTTGTTACGTCAAATCAAATTGTCAGCACGTGATAACATGAAGATGAATAGCAGCTGGGTAATTTAAGGAAAACTTTTGAACAAATGTGACCGCATTATTTGAAAATGAAAATTGCTTAGTTTGCTTAGTTTGAGTGTTCCATAAGACAAAAATGATGGAAACAATTAATAAGCAATTTCGTATTGAATTAGAAATTTGAACTTATTGTAACTCTAAAAATCTCATATCGATTACAGTTAGAGTCCAACTTATGTAAAATGTAGTCACCAAGTTACTTCGTAGCAATTGAATCATCGGAACTTTCGATTTTACAATAAGTGAGTTCCCTTTTAATATTTCACTATAATACACTGTTTTATGCTAACTTCGGTGATTTATTTTTGAACACTTATTTTTAAGCAAGGTGAACATGCCTTTTGTCTCAATAAAAAAGTATTTAAAAAATTCAAACATGTTTGACCAAAAAATGTAAAATAAAATTACAAGTAAATTCTATATCTAGTCAAACACAACTCAAATATTCAATGTCACGTGTAAGTGTCCAGTCGAATCCAACGTAGTAAAAATTAACAGCCTGTTTGGGAGGAATTTTTTACCCTAAAAAATTAATTTTTTGGCCGTTATTTCACAATTCCAATCGTAATTTTTGACTTCTTCTCTCACGGGTGAACCCCATTTTTTCTTCTAACGATCAAAAATTATTTTTCAAAATCTCTCTCAAACGAGGCCTAAGTCAGCAAAACAAATTTTTTGTGATCGTGGTTTATGGCACATTTATTTTCAACATGGATTGCGTCTTTTCCTAGGTGTAATAATATTAATAATTTTACATTTGAACAATTTTATAAAATTTACGTTCGCCTTTATTCGGGCTTCCGTAACCTCCACGAAAGGCCAAAGACACCTCCTTGATAATACAAATCGATCAATCTAAACTGAAAAGCATATCACGTGTCAGAAGACAATGGAACTAGCTTCTTGAAAAAAAAAAATATTGGATCATTTGCAGCTATGTCAATATATTGATGACCAATAGTGCAATTTTTCTCCATATATTCACTTAGCCTATGTTTGGACTCCCTTTTATTCAAAATGTAATTTTTTTAGCCACAAATTTTTCAATAAAATAATATAACATATAAACCTTTTTTTAAAAAATTAAACATTATTCAAAAAAATCATTATATCGAAGGGAACTAGTTCCTTGAAAAAAAATATTAGATCATTTGCCGTTTATTCACTTTAGCCCTTGTTAAGGCTCCGTTTGATTCAAAATGTATTTTTCCATATTTTTTTTAACTATATATTTTTTAATAAAATAATATTATATATAAACTCATTTTTTTAATTACACATTATTCAAAAAAATCATTATATCCAAATATATTTTTTCCTCAAAAACATATTAGACCAATAGTGCAAATTTTCTCCATATATTCACTTTAGCACCTGTTTCGGTTCCGTTTTATTCAAAATGTATTTTTTTATTTTTTTAACAATACATTGTTCAATAAAATAATATTACATATAAACTCATTTTTTTAATTACATATTATTCAAAAAATCATTATATCGAAATATTTTTTTTTCTCAAAACATATTCGACCAATAGTGCAATTTTCTCCATATATTAGCCCTTGTTTGGACTTTGTTTTATTCAAAATGTATTTTTTTATATTTTTTTTTAACCATACATTTTTTAATAAAATAATATTATATATAAACTCTCTTTTTTAATCACACATTATTTAAAAAATCATTATATCGAAATATATTTTGTCTTTAAAAACATATTTTAATGGATTGATAGCAAATTGCCACCTGTAAACGTTTTCAAATGTGATATATCCCCTACTTGTTGAAATTGCAGAAAACTCCCATTTTTAAAACCTTTTGTGTGAAAACTCCCTATCTTTGAGATATATTAGATTTTCTGTTAAAAACAGTCAAAAATCTCAAAATTAAAAAGGAATAGTTGCAATTTCAGTACCCAAACATTTTAATTTTTTACATATTAAATCCAATTTTTTTATATGTGCAACCTACAATCCCAAATCTTTAACACTTTATTTTCCACCCACCCTACTTCGTTGTCTTCCCCAAAAATCCAATTGAGATTCAACATTAAGAAATGCCTTACCCATATGAAATAATTAAAAAAATGCTTTATGCAAATTAACTTCAAAATCTCTCCCCAAACCTACCCCTACCTCACCTACCCTCGTAAGCCCAAAAACCAAATCCACAACCATGCCATCACTATCGCCTACAGTCGCCTTCCCCACTCGGAAGGATATCGCCTCTCACCTTTACCTCAGATGATCGAATCATTCTCCTAATTAGCTCGTGGAATACGAATAAACTTTTTGGGTGAAACCAATGGCTCATCATCATTGAATGCCCTCATTTTTTGTTGGTTAATTTTGTTGGAAAAAATTGAATGTGCAGCTCATTTTTGACACAATTTCGATGGGACCCGTTGGTCAAATGTGAAATATCAAAGTTGATATGTATTCTCCTCTATGAGAACATCGATTTCATGTATTTATTTGCCAAAAATGAAGTTCGGGTAAATGAGAAATTGGAGTTCAAAGTTGGTCATTGGAAGTTGGTTTTGTGGGAAAAAATACATTTATCCCACATAGGAAAACCAAGGAAACTCAAACCACTTTATATATGGCTATGTTTTGGAGATGTGTAATCATGTGTAGCATAGAGGCTCTTTCCACATGCGCGCGCAGGGGGTGTAAATCACGAATCGAAATGGCTTTTGGACCTTAAACTTGGGTGCAGGCGCGACCTGCACACACGAATGTCGAACCGAAAAAGGCAAAAATGGCACCATCGGAGAGCACACGTTTTGCCAAATTTTTTTTTTTTTTTTTTTTGCCTTCTCTAATGACTTTTGAGTTTCTAAATTGAAAAAATTCCAATAGACTCCCAATGGTCACAATATTAATTGGCAATATGCCTATAAAAATGCTCATTCTCCAACAATGTAACACACTCGAAAATCTCACCTACATTATTGCATACACAGTTTTTTCTTTTATGCAGTTCTTGTGCAGTAAGGTCTCGTTCTTGTGGTGATATTGTTTAGATATTAGATCAGTTCGCCGGAATAGGACCGCGGTGCTCAGATTCTGCTTATTACCGTTGTATCCTGGGAGACAGCTGCTCGAACTGAACCTCCAGCACCTACGGTGAGGGGGCAAAACTGTCTTAAGGAAACTGTGCACGCACAGGCCTCGGTTTGAAATCTGCTGCAGTTTGTGTTTTCTTTCTACAAATTATTTTCGCATTACTATTTAATTCATGTAGTTTGTAGTTCCATAGTGTGCAGTTTCCAGACTTATCGTTTACAGTTCTATCCTGCAGTTAACTTATATTTCTGATTTTGCGTTGCTTAACTTTTTTTTCGGCCGTTTGAAAATTCTGAAATGGAATTTTTTTTTAATAAATTGAAATTATTTGCCTTGTGATTATTAATTTCAATAGTCGGCTATTGCAATTGAATAAAACTTATACAATTGGTTTTATCCACTAGCGACTTGTTTTCCTACAATTTTTTGGTGATCGCTTTACCTGTAATCTATATTATATTTGGTTTCATCAAAATTGTATTTTCCTCGAAGTTTATGGGTATTGGAAATTGGAAAGCAAAGGCACATTTTTTCAGGTAGCATTGCAAACTGAGTAAATTAGGGAGTTTTGATTCCATCCACGAGTGGCTTTTGCAACGAAAATGAAAAGTGTGGGAGCATTAAGCTGTGTATATCGACATACCTTGGCTTATCTTCACACTTTACATGCACACTCCGCAACTATTATGCAAATCTGAAAGCTAAAAATAGTGAAATCAACTCCAAGGATCCAAATTCTGTAGTTTACATTTGTTCTGAAAATATAGAAACCTTTACTGTAAAATAATTACATGAAATTGCAAAGGGTCTTTAAATCTTCGGCTAGAAATTCATTTGGGTTGTTAAAAAAAGGCAAGAACTAAGAGGAAGACGAGAAAGAAAATTGGTTGCCGAAATGATTCGAGGAAAAGAACAATTTGATGTTTTAACAGATTCACAATTCTCCAAAACTTTGATTTTAAACACAGGAATGATTGATTATTTTTTATTTTTGGGGAAGAAGATGAAGTAGCGTAGGTTGGGGTGGAAAATAAAGTTTTAAAGATTTGGGATTGTAGATGGCAGATATAAAAAATTTGAATATAAATTGTAAAAAAAATAAAAAGTTTGGATACTGAAATTACAATTATTCCTTTTTAATTTTGACATTTTTTACGCTTTTTAACAAAAAATCTAACATATCTTGAAGGTTTGGAAAATGCCATACATACAAACGTATAATTTATAGAATTTTTATAGAATACTTATATGAAATGGGCTCCATATGATTAAAATATTGTTAAAAAATCATCGCACCCCTCCCATGTGTGTGTTCTGACCCCTTGAAAGGAAGGCCTGTACCTGTAGCTTTGTGACTTTGTCCAAATGGTATGAAATTTTTCACCCAAAAGATTTCAAATAGGGAGTTTTTTGCGATTTTCAATGGATAAAATATATATTGCACGTGAAAATATTTATGGTTTTTTTTTCAGCTACTACTATTAATCGTATGTTAATGGAGCCCAAACATAAGCTTTTCACAATTCCGATTTCTCTCTACGTAAAAAAGGGAGATTTCGTGAATTAAAGTTGGTACAAAAAAATAAAAATAAAAATGACAAAATTTTACTCTATTTAGCAAATATTTTTTTCTGTCCATTTAACCGTATAGATATATCACGTCAGAAATCCTAGAATTTGTTCGCGCTCTCTTGCACCTTCTTAGATTATCGCGACAGTTTGGCCCCTTCATATTGAGCCGCGGTTTCTAGGGTTTTAGATTTAGGTCCTTAATCCCTTTTTCTGCAATTTGCGGTGGCATTAATATTTTGGATTTTTGTTAAAGAAAATATTTTGATTTTTGTTAGTTTCGCAGGCAAGAATATTATCTGAGTTTTGTGTTTAAGTAGAGGAAATTAAGATGGATGGATTTGGAGGTGGGGGCGGTATTGAAGAGTCCTCAAATCCTCAGAATCTTAAACTGTTTGGTACAAATGCTACAGGTTAGCTACTAGTTTCTACTTGTTAGTTTAGCCTTCGAGTTTAATTTGCATTATAAATCTGCTTCTGCGTATAACTCATGACTTCAATTCTCATGAGTTTTACCTTATTCTGTGGATGTTGGATTGGGTAAAAAATGGTTTTTATTATTTAGTTGATTCACGGATTTAACAATAAGATGTATATGGTTTGACCTGTTATTATAGCTTTGCTGGTTAATTTTTTAATTTTTAATTCTCTGTTGCATTAGACGTTCCGTGCGACCTTTTTGGCAGATTTAACACGTTAATGTAATTTTCAGAAGAATTTATTGGAATCAGAATGTGTTATTACCTTGCACTAGCCCTTCACACGTACAAGTTAATGCATGTGTTGCTACCTAAATATTAAATCTTCTTCGTGCCTGAGGAGACATGAATCATTTCAATCATATGGTTTAAAGCCTTTAAGAAATTGTTTGGAGAGGGACCACTTTTGCTTAATTTGTTTGGCTCTGCAGGAGATGCGAAATTTGATGCGTCACAGTATGCATTCTTCGATAACGATGTAGTCGAGGAAGTCGAGCTAGGGGGATTAGAAGATGAAGAGGGTGATCTCCCTCCGGCTGGACTTGATGATGAAGAGTTCCTTTTGGACAGAGAAGAGGTTCCTTTTTGAGTTTTTAAAATTTCTTGTTATTCACTTTTTCGATGATAATGCACGTTTGTCATTTCCTTCTTCCATAAGTTGAATTCACTAAAGTTCTGAGATAGAATAACTGCTTAAATAATTTCAATGGTGTTTTCTGAGGCTGTCCAAATTAGAAAGCACAACTGAATAATTAAGGACACTAAATGCACGATTTTGAATAATCATGCACCTCTACGCGCTATTTATATGTCCATGTTAAGGGTAGGTTTACTTGATAATCACGTGTTATTAAGTATGTCCTTTGATTATGAATACTTGAATGCTTGGGTTTTTTGCGCTTATGTTAATTTTGCCTTTTGCAGGGTGAAGCACTGGATTCTTTGTCTGAAATTGATGATCTAGCATGCACATTTTCACAGGTTAGTCTTCATATATTCAGAAAATTGTCGCTATAGTTCAATAAAGTAAAATTAGATTTTAATGTCTAATCTGATCCTTAGAGATGGCCTTTTAAATGTTTCCTAGACTGTGGTTTCCTCATAATCATTCCCTTCCCCAACTCTCTTTGGAAGGGTAGGGGGAGTTGACTTAATAAAGATATTGGTCTCCACGTTTAATCTTTGACTTTCCAATATATTTTTTTATTTCTTTTGTTAACTCATTATTGTGAACATTTTTTCTTTTTATATATTTTAATTTGCGGGATGACATTGATGTGGTAATTTATTGGTGGTACTTTCATGTGTTTAATATCCACCATGGTGCTTATATTCTGTTACTATTGGCTTATAATTAGCCTTTTTACCATTTTTAGATGAATTTGCTCATGAAATAGTAAATTAGCTTTTTAATCACCTACTGAATAGAAGCAATGTTATCTTATGCAATTTTTAATATCTTTTAATGTTTCTAATATACAGTTGAACAGAGGTGTTAGTGAGCCTGTTGGAGATCAGAGATCCAGAGGAAGTGAGTGCAGTAATATCAGATTATGCATGCCACCTGAGATTAATATATCCACTAGGGCCTTTTATGAATGCGTTTGTCAATGTTTCATTGAACTTCATCCTTCTGATCATGGATTTCTATTGTCTGATTATATTATTGGGCACTATAATCTTTACAGTCATAATATGGTTGAACTCAAACAAAGCTGTAATTGTGAATGCATTGATAGTGTTGTAGTTTTTTTAAACCCTATTTATTTGAGATAATTATTTTTCTTAGGTGTATTTTAACATCACTATTATGCAGAGGCTGTTGCTATTTGCATAGAAACCCATGGCTTGAAAAATTACTCTGCATGTTCACTGTTTAATTTTTTATTGGGACTAAAGCATCGATTCCCGCATCACGTGAGGCTTTCATTGGATGTCTCAAAGATGGGCCTTAAATGCTATTTTTGAGGCTTACATCTCAAAGCTAAACCTCAGGGTAACTAATTCGTTTTGTCTCTTTGTCTTGTCTTTTCTGGGCATTTATTACAAGCCTTAGCATTTAGGGCTATTTTTTACGGCCTAGAATTTATATTTTTATTTCTACCTAAACATGGAAGGAGAAGCGAAAGGGAAGACACTATTGCAAGTGGAGTATGATAAGAAAAATTGAGAAGGAACAAATAGCAACAAAGAGGATGATTGGAAATCAAATAATTTGAAGATTCTGTTAGTAGTGATGATCTAGGAGATTTTTGAGTTATTCTATTTCTAGTAGTAAATTATAATCATGTCACGCGATTTGAGAAATTATATTTTCTACTTTATTGAAATATTTTGAGTTTATTTGCAAGTTGGGCTTTAAGTTTTTAATTTGTTCTATTATTGTGATATTTTAACATGGTTTCTGGTTTATTATGATCACAATTTTGTAAGTTTACTTTTTTCATTATTTTATTGGTTAGTCATCGAGCTTACGCCTCAAAGCGAGGCTTATGCCTTGTGTCATAAAGGTAAAATGCCTCAATGTCCAATTATGCATTTTTAAACACTGCACGTTCACGTGTGGGGGCGTCATAGAAAATCAACTCTCTTACTTGATGATTCAGGCTGGACAGTGGGCAAGTTAGGAATTTAAGTTGGTAAAAGAAATGATATAACCAAGTATAGCTCATCTCGTTTTGTATTGCTAAGGGTTACTTGTCTATTTAGCCATATGAGCCAATATTGCCTAGACGTGAAAAATCAAGTTCACTCAATTAAGCTCCAATGACATCTGTTTTTACATAATACATATGTGCACATTAACATGCAAGCATAATCACATGCACATATTCATGAATTATGTAATTATAGATTCACAGGTATTCACATGATGACATGAAGTTCATCATCAGAATTCTTCAGAGAATGATATAGTTTCCAAAAGTTATGAAAATGAATTATTTTTTAGTTTCATAGTTTCAAAATAATTTTCTTGTGGGATAGATTTGATTTCCTGTAATCCCTGTGAGCCTACGCTACTGTTTTTTCTGCTGGTTTAACATTATCAGATTTGTAGCCATGATAGGATGATATTCTTTCTTAATTATTGTGTAATCCATTTTATGTATGAGGATTCCTGGTCCTCAACGTTTTAATTTCTTCTGCCTATTTACAAAAATTATTCTCTATACACTATAATTACTATGGTGGAATTGTACACTACTGGTTTTTCTTCGGGTTTAACATGATCAGATTTGTAGAGATGATAGGATCATATTCTTTCTTAATTATTGTGTAATCCATTTTATTTATGAGGATTTCTGGTCCTCGATGTTTTAATATCTTCTGCCTATTTATAACAATTATTCTCTTATACACTATAATTACTATGGTGGAATTGTTTCTGATGATGGAATTGAGTAATAATTTGATTCAAATCTCAAATATTGTTTAGGAAGCTCTTTATATATCAGCTTGAGCTCAAGCGTATGAAGCTTTAATATACTCTGAACTCATTTACCACCCTAGAAAATGAAAGCTATTCTCTACGGATATATGGTGCAGAATTGATGTGCAAATAATCCCATCCCAATATAAGTATCTTAACTTCCATTTGGTATTTTGCATAGTAATGTCAACTTCTAAAGCCAGATTGTTTTCTTAACTTCAGTTCTACTTTCCTAGCCTCCTAGGGGAATGGTTTCTGTTTGATTTTAAGTTGTGTCTCGGTATAATTACATGAGTATCCAAATGCTGTGACCATTGATTTTCACAAAGTTAAAGGTTTTGCATTTTCCAAGTAAACTTCAGTTTCAGCAAGAGAGTGGTAAATTTCATATCTTCTGAATCTTTAATGTTAATTATAGATGACTGAATAACGATGTTATGGAATAACGCCAGGGTCTTAAAAAGTAAATTGTGGTCTTCTAAAATTCATTAGCTTCTTCAATATTGCAGAGACTTATGTAGGAACAGCATATAGATAACTGTATAGGATATTTGAGTTAATTGCTAATGAATTAAGGATTTGATGTAAATTCTGATCATAACTTTGTATATGTGACCTAACGTCTTCGTGATCTAATCTTCTCTTACAGGAATATTAGATAAAGTACCATTGATTTCTGGGCCTTTAATTATGAATGTTGAGTAAATGAGATGTTAAACTTAGATTAATTTCGACATAATTGATTAGCAATGCCTCCTTAATGACCTTGTGTTTAATTAACATTTCTTAGCGTGTCAATAATAATTATTAAAGCCCTAATCAATCCCAAATAGAACCGAAAAGTCTGTAGCCTACCTGAACATGCGAGACACTCATGCTTGCCAATATTATTATTTCACAGTGACCTCTCCAGTCTTTATCCAAATGTTAAATAAATAACTTAAATGTGTTGTATTCTAGAATTTCAAGTCATTCTAATGTAGATTTGATTTTTTGTTAAGTCAACTTTGAGTAGTAGTAAAATTTACTAAATAATCACTCTAAAAATCAACTATTTGACCAATAAATGCCAATTGTGGTGATATATAATTTGGGCAGTGGAAGTAGATATTCGATTAATTGTTGATCAAGTATTTCTGTTTTTTCTTATGTTACCATGTGTACCAGGTTCATCTGCTGAGTGGGCGCAAGAGTCAGACTTTCCTAGGTGGTTTGATCAGAGTGCCTTTGATGCTGAAAGTGCTCGGGACAGTAAAGGATTGTCATCACAGCTATATTCCTCCCCTGCACAGCTTGTAGAATCCAAGTCTTTATACAGAGCTTCTTCATACCCCGAATCGCCACAGCAACACTCACATCAAAACCAAGAGCAAAAGCTACGTCAGCACTACTCCAGCGAACGAATTCTTATTCCAAAATCACCATTCACTTCATATCCTCCACCTGGAGGAAGATCCCAGCAAGCTTCACCAACCATCTCATCTATCCACCCTAATGTTCCATATGGCCCTGGTGGATATCAATTGCCAATTTCTTCTCTCAAACTTTCTCCTTTTGATAACGTGCAGATTCTTTCGAATGCCTTATCTAATGGGTCCCAATTTGGTGCAAATTTTCCTCAGTCAACCCAAGGGATCCTGGTTAATAATCAGCTTCAGAACCAATTGCTGAACCCAAGTAGTTTACATCCTGGAGATCGTTCTAGCTTGCCGCACAAGCTGTTGCAACAACAGTTACCCCATCCGCATGGGTTAATGCCTCCACAACCACCTTTGCAGCAGAACAGAATGCAGCACCCATTTCAGCCATCCTATGGCCATTTATCAGGGTTGCAGTCTCAACATTTTAATACCCTACATCCTCCATCACCACCCATGATGAACAACTACGACATGCTTGGGTTGGCTGAATTTAGAGATCAGAGAACTAAGTCAATGGTGAAAAATAGGCAAGGGTTTAATTATCCTCATCATGGTTCTGATTTTGGCAACCAGAGGAGTGATCATGGGTGGCCAAAGTTCAAATCCAAATATATGTCAACTGATGAAATTGAAAACATTCTCAGGATGCAGCTTGCTGCTACTCACAGTAATGATCCTTATGTTGATGACTACTACTATCAAGCTTGTCTGGCAAAGAAATCTGCTGGTGCAAAGTTGAAACATCATTTCTGCCCGACAATTTTGAAGGATAGTTCTTCCAGAGCTCATGCTAACGATGAGCCACACGCTTTTCTTCAGGTTGATGCTCTTGGGAGGATTTCTTTCTCTTCAATACACAGGCCACGCCCACTTCTTGAAGTTGACTGTCCAAATACATCTGGCAGTGCTAGTGCTGAACAACAAGCAGTTGAAAAGCCTTTGGATCAGGAGCCAATGCTTGTAGCTAGGGTAACTATTGAGGATTGCATTTGCTGCCTCCTTGAAGTTGACGATATTGACCGATTCCTACAGTTTAATCAGCTACAAGATGGTGGGTCCCAGTTGAGACATCGGAGACAGGTTCTGCTTGAAGGTTTAGCATCATCACTACAGCTTGTAGACCATCTTGGCAAAAATGGCCACACAGTGGATTTGGCTCCTGAAGATGATCTGGTGTTCTTAAGGTTAATTTCCCTTCCTAAGGGCCGGAAACTAATATCACGGTACCTTCAACTTCTTTCTCCTGGTGGTGAACTTGCTCGAGTAGTCTGCATGACCATCTTCCGTCATTTGAGATTCTTGTTTGGTGGACTTCCTTCTGATCCTGGTGCCTCCGAAACAACAGTAGAACTCACTAGGACTGTGTCATCTTGTGTTCGAGGTATGGAGCTTAAAGCTCTTGCTGCATGCCTTGCATCAGTGGTTTGTTCAGCAGAGCATCCGCCTCTACGTCCAGTTGGAAGTGCAGCTGGAGATGGAGCTTCTGTTTTACTTAAATCTGTTCTTGAGAGGGCAACTCAGCTTCTGATGGATCCTAATGCTTCTGGCAGCTGCAGTATGACTAACAGGATGTTTTGGCAGGCCTCTTTTGATGCATTCTTTGGCCTTCTCACAAAGCACTGCTTTAATAAATATGACTTTGTTATGCAATCTTTCCTCACACAGGCCTCCCCAGCTGTTATTGGGTCTGATGCAGCCACAGCAATCAGTAAAGAAATGCCTGTTGAACTCTTAAGTGCGAGTCTTCCCCACACAAGTGAGCAGCAAAAGAAACTGCTCTTGGAATTTGCACAGCGGTCCATGCCCATGCTGGGTCTTAGTAGCCAGGGTGGAGAAAGTGGTGGCTCGTGATTGTCTACTATGGTCTTATTGACATGGATTCACAAAATAGATTTGCCTTGGCAACTATTTAGGGTGTCAGTATTCTTGTCATGCTGACATTGGTGCTTTATTGGAAGATGTTTGTCAGCGCGTGAATGAAGCCTGATTACATGAAAGATACCGGTTTTTGCTATAAAAGTAAAACTAATCCTCTTAAGACACATTGACTGTGTATGTTTGTTAAAGTGTAATTGTGTGTGTTTCACTTTCTTTGACGGGAGCTTATTTTAATGCTCTGTTGTGCAATACTGGTAGGAGACTGTAGAGAGTACAAACGTACTGTTACAGAAAGCTTTCTGTTTCCCATGTAGGCTTTTATATTTCGATGGGGCTGGGAAGGAGTTTTTGTTTAAATGCATCGGATGGACATTGGGTTTTTATTTTTCTTTCTTGTCTTTTCATCTGTCCTATCTTTTTAAAAATGAGGGCCGTAGTTGAATAGTGGAAGTGGTAGAAATTTTGTTTCTGTTAGAATTTGATGATTTGTGATTCTTGTTTTAGGTTTACCTATCTACCAAGTTATATTTGCATCAGGTGTAGGCACAGCACTTCATGGGCCGAGGTTGCTGGCTGCATATTTGGGCTATGCAAACGGAGTAGGATTTATTCACCTTTTGCAATTGGTGGACGCAGGGTCTGTGCCTATGTTGATATCTGTCATCATTTTTATGTGAAATAGAGGTATTAATCTTATAGAGCCTTGCGATATTTGTTTTGGGGTGGCCTCTCTTCGATTAAATAACTTTGGCCTTGTGAACTAGTTTTATTGTGAAATGTGAAGTATGAGAAACCGTCAGTTACATGATTTACACAGAGCGAACCATTTCAATGGGATTGTCGAATGAATTAAACAGGCTACTTCCCTCTTGAGAGAGTCGAAATGAGGCAGAATGAACCATTTCAGTGAGATTGTCATTCTGTGCGTCAAGGCTCATGCTCACCCAGATTGCATAGACTACGGTATGAAGGGGCCATATGATTTGCTGCACAACATCCATTGGGTAAAGATGGCTGTAGTCTGGAGTATTTCCGCAGACAAGTATCTAGACGAACCCAAGCAAGATACAGGAACCCTATAAATTGTTCACGAAGGTCCTTAATGAGCCAAATTCAGCAAGCCAACAAAGCTCAATGTATAATTGCACTCGTCTGCATCCAAATTATCCCATAAAAAATTGCTACTTGTACAGGTTTTTTTGTACAAAATGTATTTATAGGTGCTGAGAAGGCATAATTTAATTGGTCTAACTTTGTTTTTTTGTTCAAAATCTAATGAAACCTTACTAGTTAACATTCCGTAAATCAGTCTGTAAAAATAGCGTATAAATGTACCATTTCTCTTGGAACTCTCTCTTATCCCATAGACAGCCGAAACTGGGATGAGGTGACTGATCGGAATAGAACCAATCGATAAGTTTAGCAAATTACTCCCAACTTAAGTGGAACTTGAACGTCAGCAACAAGAAATTCAACATTTAAGCTGAAATGAAAAGAAGGCTAAAGTTTCAGTGTCTAGAAACTAGATTCTGTTTATAATAACTAAAACGGGACCCTTTTTTCTACCCATAAATTTGACAAATAATTGTGACCTTTAAAATAAGTCAATCTAACTTTTGGAGTTCGTTTGATTGCAAAGATGTAATTAAATTGAATTGAAAACGAATTTCAAGAAATTGAATTGTCTAGAAATTGTTTGCCTGAGAATTGTAAATTATTGTGTTTGATTGGGATAATTTTTCATGTGGAAAATGTTGAAATAAAAGTGTTTTTGATCTCCGTTTGACTTTGTTTTATATGAAAATTGTCAATTAAAATGATAGATTTTACTGATATTGGAGATGAAATTTGTTTCCATTGACAACACACAAAAACAAAAATTTCAAGAAAATCATCTATCTTTTGATGTTCGTTTGACTTTATTTTATATGAAAGTTGTTATTTAAAGGGAAATATTTTTTTACAATAATTCCTAGAATTTGTTTCCTTTAAAAAAAAAATAATCGAAAAAAAGTGTTACAGTAACCGAGAATTCCAATTCTCGCCAATTTTGGTGAGAATTGGAATTCAAGAAAAATATGGAAATTAGCTTAGGTGGCATAAAAGATGGAATTCGAATTTTAAGAAAAAATTTGCCAATCAAACAAAAAAAAATTGGAAAGATGGAATTTGATTTCCATTTTCCATGGAATTGGGGTGTAATCAAACATACCCTTAATAACTTATGGATTTCAAGTAATTATAATAAACTTTAATGTGATTTTAGTGAAATACATAGACAATTAATTTAACTTATATTAAAGGTCACGATTATTTGTCAAATAACCTTGTCAAATTTATGTGTAAGAGAAACAATACCATAACTTAAATAGTCAAACCATAGTTGAATCCACTGTAAGCCATAAGGATTTTGATATACATACATCACTTTTGCCACCTTGTTGATGGAAAAGTGTGTTGACAAAATTTTATCAACCATGCTACTCGTACAATGCATGAGTTGGCAAACCTCACATCTATCTTTTTAAAAAATTGTTTTTAAAAATCAGTGATTAAAATTTTTCAAATACACTAGTTGTCAATCAAGTTGGGTAGACACATGGCTTTATTCAAATTTTATTGGACAAAAAAAAAGTTTTTTTTTTTTTTTTTTTTTTTTTTTCCACAACCGATAAATGGCAAAATGCCACAAGACATTCTATCAAAAAAACCGTCAAATAGGATGTGCATCAAATATAGTTGAAATCAAAATGATGGGAGAACATATGAACAAGTAAAAACTACCGTACAATTACAAGTACAATTACCATCGCCAGTCACTAGAATCAAAGGGCGACATATTGTGTATGTACTGAAAATGAATGATGATATGTGCTCAGAGCAGTATTGTTGAGCTCATAACTCCGTTCTAAGGCCTCAGATGAATAAAAGGTGTAGGCTAAGAAAATGTATTAAGCCTACCACTCAGTATAAGAAAAGTTGTGTCACTAATACCATGCAGTGCACGAGTCAAACTTTAATTTTAACCACACATTTCGTAAATCTTACTACCCGTTTATCCTCTACTTACTTAAAGCAATCTATAATTTCAACCACTTATAATTTCTCCCAAACAATCACAAATGGGCACCACCTTACATTCCATATCATCTAGCAATCCGCGGGAGCTCATCAGAGAAACTTTTGCATATTTGAAATACTTTAATTTTAACCACATTACGTAAAAGCCACTACACATTTACCCCCCTAAAAATTATAATTTTAACACACAAAATTTCTCCCAAGCACCAATGCACTCAACCTTTCACTCCATTGCGTTTCATCTAGCAACCCGTGGGGGCTCATCATAGACCAATTTTTGCATATTCAAAACAATATATACATACATTATTACATACTTCAAAAAATAAAAACAATTAAAACATATTATTGAAAACAACAACTCCAATATGAAAATTAACACAAAAAAAAGACAATTCAATACCACAAATTACAAGAAAAATGTTCAAAGATTGCTAGTTGATGACTACAATGACGATAAATAAATAATGGAGGACAAGAGATGGGGAGGAATAACAAAATATTGAATTAACAGTTAACATAATCCAGCTTGTAAAAATGCTTCATCATACATGTTTTACTTGCCAATAAACTCAAAATCCTGTTTGGTTCCGATAAAGAATGATGATAAAAATAAACTTTGACATCTTTTAAGAGTGTAATGCAATCACAACATAGAAGCAGAATTTTAAAACTGAAACAAAAATCCATAAAGTATAGAAAAATAAGCGAAGACTAGATAGAATAGGTTCAATACAAGTCTCATAATCTGTTTAGATTCGAAATGATAATGCAAAACAATCCTTAATTATAAGCTAAAACACTTCAGTAAGAACATAATCGAAAACAAGACAACTCCATATTTCTACAGAACTTCCTTCCATTCATCCGAAAAACCAAGGCCAATGAAGAAGAGGCTGGTCCATGCAAAAGGACCCACTCAGGTATCCTAGTCCAAACTTCTACTTGGATCTTTGTCTCATCTTTCGGCGCTTCCTCTTCAACCTCCTCATACGCTTCTTCTTCCACTGTAAAATGCACGAGAATGTAACTTAACAAGATTAAACTTAAAAGACAGTATGGTGCATAGGCAGCGCATACTCAGGAGAATTTTGTTTTCAAGCCAAAATTATCAATGCATTAGCAATCACGTTTGGACATCCTTTTAGGGCCTCTAGATTTAAGAACCAACATTCTCTCACCTTCCAAGTCAAGTGAAACCCTAACCCCTTTTCGTTTTCTCAATTTTTCATAAATAAACGTAGGTAAATGCAGCAATATCCACAGTTTAACAAGTAACATCTGTTGATTTGTTCATCCAACATCTTAATATGAACATAGTCGAAATTAGGTTTGCATAGTCGAACACAGGTAAAAAGCTTAGGTCTTTACACGTATTTGGCACGACAAGGTAATCTAATAAGGAAAAACTAGAAGTATGAAAGCGTAAGAAATTTTCATCACTATTTAAGAGCATAGAATTACAAACGCAACATTTCAGTATAGAGAACGCATAAAAATCATTCATAGAAGATAAGGATGATCGTGAAACAAGTAAATATCAATCACAACACGAATCAAAACAGGGCTGTATTAAAAAATTAAAATTGAATTAAGCTAAATCAATGAAGTTGTGCTAACCTTAGCCCTCATGTCGGCCCAAAATCTTCACGGAGTTAATATGTCTATCAATTCGTTTAGGAGCCGCCGCCGAATTGTTTGGATGAAATGAAATGGGTTGAGCGGCCACTGGTTCGATATTTATAGGAGGCTAACGCAACCCTACATAGGGGTCTTTTAGTCATTTAATAATTTTGTTTTCTTTTTCTTGTTCATTAATTTCATTTTTCACGCAGCACAAACAAAGCAGATACAAAACAAATTTCTTTGCTTTGCTCTATTCTCTTCCGTTGTCAAATTTGATTCACCACTCTCAAAAGTTGTTTATGATAATTGATTTTAATTTAAGAGCTTGTTTGACATGAATTTTTCTTTAACATATTTTTCAACTATATATTTCATTGAACACATAACTTTTATTCTCTTTTTTAATCATGTATTCTAAACAAAATTATTTTTCACTTACAAATTTGTGCCAAACAATCGCTAGATATGAAAAAATATATACACGTGAGAGTTTCATTGAGCATGCCAAAAGTTGAGTAATATCCAACCTATAGACTACATAAACAAACGCATAAAATAAAGCAATCAACTTTACCCATAATGAAAGTATAAATCATATCTTTCTTGCTCTATTTTGAGTAATGCTATTCTTACCACTAGTGAAAAATATCATATTTGTTCAGTTTTAGATAGTATGTCGTGTTTGGACTTTGCAAATATGCAGAATCCCAAATCTAACTCTTTCTATTGCCAAACATATTCTCAACTAACATTGCTGTATGTACAAAAGTTGATTCACAGAATTTACACAGGAGAGGTATGTGACAGTTTTTTGTGAAAGATGACCGACCAACAAAAAATGAACAACACAGATGCCGTAAAAATTCTGTGAAGACAACCCTCTACACTTAGAATTGTTCTTTCTAAATAGGTTCACACTCGTAAGAATCAGGAACACGGAATCTTTCTACTTAGACCGCCTGTCCAACACAACCCTCAACCTGACCCCTGTATCTCAACTTAGTCTTACAACCCTAGTCCATTTTCTTTCTATTCCTACCTTTTAATTCAGTTCCTATCAATGTAAAGCAGCAATCATGTTTGATGAAAATCATTATTGAGAAACATTCACCAATGAAGACTCACAAAACGTTCTCAAGGTTGACAGTTAAAAAAGAAAAAAAAGACTTTGAGAACGAGATTAAATCGGTGGCACAAGTCGGTGTCCTTTTTGATTTCATCCATAATAAATGATTTTATTAGAATTGAATCCATCTCTAATTGCCAAGAACTCACTGGAGGTAACCTTACCATCCCTTTATAGTAATTTTTGACAGCCATTACTTGTTTCCAATTCACATGTTTTATATTTGTTGACATCAAAATTCAATGAGACACATGGCTAATAGACTCTCGGCTACTTCTCATCCACCTGGCATCACCCGCACGCTAGAACACACCTTTAGGGTGCAAAGATCATCGACCAAGAAAAATGTTAAACTTCAACGATCAAATATCCTGTTTTGTTTTTGTTGCCTTGCATGTTTCGATTATTTGACTTGCGCATGCTGCATATCCATTTGATTAAATATTAATATTTATATCTCTCTCATTATTATTCTTTTATAAATCACATTTTATTTAATATTATATAAAGTTTATTAAAGTTAATATTTTAATTACATTCACTACACAATAATATTTTTACTAAAATTTATTTATTTTTAAACATTATTATCTGTAATTTCTAAAATAGATCTTAAAAAATTTACAAACAGATCTTCAGATAAATAACCACCTATTAAAAACTTAAAACTGGACCAATTAGCCATATTCTTTCTCAATTACTGAGCTTTGTGTCATCCGTAAGTTAAGAGGGGTTTACAAATTATAGTTCTCGTAAATTTTTTGCTTTGTTGGGTATTAACTACTGATTTAACGACAAATTCAAGAGAAACTAGACTTCCCAAGATTGTAAGGCTCATCTTTCTTAGATCTGAATTATTCGGCGCGTGAATGTATTTAACTCCTTTTTTCTTGAGAAATTTAAATTAACTACATAGCTACCCAATCGATGTGTCAAAAAAAAAAAAAGGTGAACTGTCCCTAGCTTCTGAGCAGCTTGAAGCGACTCACCTAACATCCATCAAAGAAAGAGAAAGAAAAGTAAGTAATAATAAGCCTCATTTATTCGAAGAATTAGAAATAATCGTAACATTGAAATCTCAACCACCGTTAATTTATATGAGGATATAAACATAACCCCAGTTTTTGTAATGATAAAGCTATATAATTTACTTGCACTGATTAAGGAATTGAGTATGAAATAAAACCGTAGAATGGAAAGATTCATTGCAATTAAGGAGACTTAAGTGAGTTTAGTTGATCGTCTTTGCATAACAAAAGCATGACATTTGAAAGCCTAAAGTTTGATCCCACTTATTCCTCCTTGTGTTGTGAAATGGTCCCAACATATCTTAATTAAACGTGTCGATTAATTACTGGACTAATTTTCAGTTCTCAATTCCTAATTACGTCAGTAATCACCTCCTTCGCAATTAGGGAACAACCTCAGTGTTCTGGTATTTAGCTGAGGTGGCACGATATGATAGGCTATAGTTTATACCTGAGGCATGTGACACTAGTATAGTACAGTGGTCTCGTATGTATACGATAACAAAGATGGGCAAAGGTATGCCAACTTTATGCACATAAACTGCTGATATTGAGTTCTCTATTTCGTACAATGCTCTTCTTCTCATCCAAAAGTCTACAAATTAAGTGATTATTGATCTTAATTAAACAAATGGAGAGCACCGATTCATCGACCGTGTCGCAGCAGCCGCAGCTGCCACCGGGTTTTTGATTCCACCCGACCGATGAAGAACTTGTTGTCCACTACCTTAAGAAAAAGATTGCCTCATCTCCTCTTCCGGTTGCTATAATAGCCGATGTTGATCTTTACAAATTTGATCCATGGGAACTCCCAGGTAACATATAGAGTTCACTAGATGATGTACAGTCAGTATGTTAAACTATCTCGTTTAAAAGCTTTAAAGACCTTGCATGGTTGTTGATTTATCAGCCAAGGCCGTGTTTGGGGAACAAGAATGGTACTTTTTTAGTCCCAGAGACAGGAAGTATCCTAATGGAACTGGGCCGAATAGAGCTGCAACTTCTGGATATTGGAAGGCTACCGGGACCGATAAGCCTGTGCTGACGGCTGGAGGGACCGAGAAAGTTGGGGTTAAGAAGGCATTAGTTTTCTATGGAGGAAAGCCACCTAAGGGTATCAAAACTAATTGGATCATGCACGAATATAGGCTTATTGAGAACATGAAACAGAATAAAAAGCCTCATGGCTGTGGTGTAGGCAACAAAAATGCCTCTTTAAGGGTCCGTAAGTCGTACTTACCTTTTCCTCGATCAACATAGTGTTGTTTCGATGTTTTTCTTGTTGATTTTTGGTTTGTGTTAATTAAATTATCCAGCTTGACGATTGGGTTTTGTGTCGGATATACAAGAAGAACAACACGAATTGGCGTATGGAGCAAGACGATATAATTGGATCGATAACACCTTCAATGGCATCGGCGTCTGCTAGCCAACAAAGCCTCCAGGGTCCAAATTATAGCGTATTTCTCGAAAATGAACACAATTTGTTAGAGGAAATGATTGTTAGAGATAACTCAATGAATGATGAAGTTGGTATTAACAAGCGGATGCTTCCTACTCTATATTGGAACAACGATGTTAGCCTGAATTCTCCTCCTTCAAAGAGATTTCTTGCAGTGAATTTCGATGAAACCGGCTCTATTGCTACCATCCTTAGCCAACTTCCACAGACTCGTTTATTGAATCAACAAGCAATGCTAAGCTCTATTGGTCCAGTTTCTGGTTTGAATTGGTATAATAAGTAGATCGCTTGTATATATAGACTACTTTTAAGTTATTCCGATATGGAAAAAGATGGAGCTACAGGAGCCTGGTTCACAAGCCCCTGCCAGATGAGAGAGGAGGTAGAGGTGGGCTCCACCTATATTTTTAAATTGCTGTGGGACCCGACCCCCTACAGTGAGGGGGTCTGTACAACTTCTGTGAACCGAGCTCTGTACATGGAGCTCGGTCCTTCCGATATACACTCATCTTGAAAAATTATTGTGGTAACTAAAAGTTGATTATAATCTTAAATATATTTTAATTATTTATATAGTATTTTCAATATTTTCTTGATTGGGGTTTCATTTTAAAATACATCACGTTAAAAGAAACAGTCAAGTCCTTATATATTGCATATTTAATTATTTATTTCATAGTTATTAGTTGATGATAGTTACCCTTGATGACATGTCCTTAGAAGAATGGTGGCTTTGAGTTTTACTTGGACCAAATTGCTCCTCTAAGCTTAATAAACCCTACTACCATATCAAATGCATGTTGAAAAGTGATTTTATTCGGTTTAAATTACAAATAAATAGAAATTAGTGGTGAATAATGAGTAGTACTTGTAGGTCCTATAGAATGTGTGGATATAAAATAAGTTTGATCGATTTTAAATTTCCAAATTAACTAAGGAAAAAATTGTAGCAGTGGTCCCTAACGTTTTTATTTTTTGCAAACTCTGTCCCAACCTTCATTTTGCACCAGTGTAGGTTTCTAACCTTTCATAAATATGTACCCGAAGTCCATCTGGAAGGAAACCGTTTAAAACACCGTCAATTGACCGGAAAAATTAAGGAGTCAACATCCAATAAAACCGACAAAAAAGATATCAACATCCAAATGAGTGGTGGTAACTAAATGAGTAGTACTTATAGGTCTTACATAATGTGTAGATATAAAATAGGTTTGATCGATTTTATATTTCCAAATTAAATAAGCGCCAAACAAATATTTTCATTTTAAAATGTTAATACTGTTAAGAGGAAAGTTTTAGAGCACATATGTTTTATATTTATATCATGTTTATTCGATATAGTATTTTGACCTCGAACATATTTGGGCAATGGAAATGGTAAAATAGATGGTTAATTATGCTAATGGTTGTTACCGTTTTAAGTAACTACTTAAATGACACAAAAGTAGCTTTCTTACTATAATAATTATTCCAATTTCCAATAGTTACACTAACAATCACTCGATGAAAAACACATCGAAGTAAAATACATGACATCATTTTATGCCAACGTGTCATCAAACAACATCACACAAAGTCAACAAAAATCACTATTAAAAAAACGTGGTTACATCAATTTAAGCCTAAAAAATATACGAAAACTAAAGTTGTATTACATTTTCTCTCATCAATTTATTGATTTGACATAATAAAAAAAAATTAAAAAAAGAACATTGTTTGGTGATAAGTTTGGCATTAATGCCGCTAGGAAGGATTTAACGCTAAACTTTTAACCGATTGACCATTAGTTTAATATTTAGAAACATGGGCTATTACGGTGAGAAAATAAACTTCAGTTATCATCGATATTATTACTTAAAACTTCAGGGATCATTAATGTAATTAATTTAAAAGCATATTTAGCAATTTAGAGAATATCTATAAATTTAGAGAGTAAAATTTTTTAAGCACTCCAATAGCGTCTTTATCTTTAATACTTAATTTTATTACTTTCAAAAAATAGTTATAATTTTTTCATGTCTTTAATTTTCCCTGACTTCCCTGAAAATTGAAATACTATGAACGCATTTAATCATAAAGAGTGGATTTGAATAATTTCTTATAACGTAATTTTAAGAGTCGATTCTTTAAAATGAAGAGGATCTTATCTTTAAAAAGTTTTCTGAAGATGCTCTAAGAGAAGATTACGACCATGGTGTCCCTTTTCTAGCCGAACAAAAAGACGCCGTAGTTACATGGCCAAGTGTACTCTAATACCACCAGTAGTTGTGTTACGTTCGACCAAGAGCAACCTCACAAATGACAATGTTTTATTTGCTCTTAAACAACACAACTTTATGATCGTTAATCCTTTTCATTTTTTGAGGAAAGAGTACAAAAGAACTTCAACACACTTCACAGGTGCTTTCTTAATATAGTAAATAGATAATGTGACGATGCATTATGCACTAATTCATTCTCTTGTCCCTCGTGAAAGAAGCTTTTACGTGCAAACCTCAAAATTTGTCTCATCTTTATTTTGCACGCGTAAGGATATGTTCATGCATACATTTTTCTGAAAAAGTAATAAAATGGGTAGGGTTAGTCCCATTGAATGTCATTAAACTTTTACCAAGTTGCAATTAGGCCACAGTTTTAATCAGTGATATAATGTTAATTAACTTTAGTGACCTTAGGCCATGTTTGAGCCACATTTTTTTTCAAAAAATAAATAAATTCTTAAACAGTAATTTGACATCATTTCAATCACACATTCTTCAATATAATAATATTACATGCAAATTCAAAACTTTTCTTTATTTTTTAGCCACACATTCTCCATCAATACACTATTCAAAAATTCATTCTAAGGAAAATAATGTGGCTCAAACAAGGACTAAAGAAGTTAAAAATATTGATCAACTTAAAATTTGCGTTGAACATGCCCTAGATTGTCTTATCTTGAATAGTGGATGGGATAGGGATAGAATTCTCCAAACCTGTCTTGTATTTTATTTTTATCTTTTTCAATATAATTTTTATATTTAAAAATACAAATAATTTTAAGATTAAATATACATAATTATTCAAACAGAGCAGTAAATGGGAATATTTTTATATCCTTATCTCGTTGCCATTCCTTAACATGTTCAATAAACAATGTGCAGGGTGCACCTACCAAGTAAGTTGCGAGAAACAACAATTGGGATATTGTCCGCCTGTTGATATTCATGAAAAACCATTACAAATACTATGGTGTTATAGGATTACAACTAATGAAGTCAATGCAACTATGGTAAAATTTTAGTGATCAGATTACAACTAGGGTGAAAGTTCAGTGACCTTCACTGTTGTTAATCTGCTAATTGTGATGAACTCGTTGACATTTCTTTAGTTTTGACGGACTTGTTAGCTAATTTTGGTATACACATTAATGAAATCCAAATGGAGTAATTTTATTGCTTTTAAATTAATGTTTAGCAGCCTTAATGGTTCAAATTGAAGTTTAGTGACCTGATTCCAACTCGAATGAAAACTTCAGTGATCTCCAGTGTAATTAACCCCCCCCCCCCTTATTTTATAACCACTATATATACGCTGCATGTTTTATTCATAGAAAAGATTAAACATAATACAAATTCAGAAAGGAATTCGGCCTGATCTCCAACTAAAGGCGTAATGAAATAAACTTACCTTGTTCAGAGAATGAGAGCACACGATAAAAGTTAAAGAAACTCCACGTTATTTGTAATAGCCATATTCATTGTCATCATACGTCGAATTTAGTGTCTTTCTGACTCCTAAATATTTTTAGAGATTTCATAAATTTATGATCGTACCTAAGTGATACAATGTTAAACCAGCTTGATTTATAAATTTTGAACCTATCTAAAATTTTAACATGCTAATTAGAGGCGATTTATTTATTTATTTAAATTTTGTGTTAACAATATCAAAAGTCAAAACAGACGAATTTCAAACAAAAATAAAGTTTATGCAGATATGAATTGTTTATGAACGAATAGTGACAGCACACATTTAAGAGAAAATTAGGCTGGGGCCTGTTTATGTTCTTTGAAACTGAAAAATCAGGCCTGTGAATCTCTCTTCCAATCAATGTAAAATCCCTAATTCTTCATGCTTCCGTGATTCATTAGTTATTTTCTTTTATAGTCCATCTACATCTTCTCCATCAAACACAAATATCTCATGAATAATTTTGCTACGTCTAAGTGAAATTGCGTTTGAAATTGTCACACTCGAATATCTATGAAATGTGTGACATTTGAACGTGTGATTGGATATGCCTCCTATAACATGTGACATTGGAATTCAAAATTGAGTTTGACTTCTGATTTATAGTTGCAACCTAGGTTGATATTCATGTATTCGTGTGTTACTAAAAGGGGATGAATGAAGAAATTATGTTCGTTTTGCAATGACTGAAATGATTATCTCGACCTGTTGACACATAAAAATTCAGCCCAAATCGAACAGCCCAAGGAATGAAGTCCAATTGGAGAATTCCCAAATCAGATAGCCCAAAGAACGAAGCCCAATTGAACAAATCAAGATGAAGGCCCAAATAAGGAGGCCCAAAACGCGGTAACGCCATCGCTCAAGTTTGCAAGTCGCCCAGAATCTGAGCGAATGGAGTGTCATACAGTTGCCCAGAACTGTTACTCTATTCTCGCCCAAACCTTCAAGTCGTTCAAGGTCTTAACAAACATAAAGTATCGTGGTTATCAAGAAGTGCAGTTATCAAAGCAGTTATTAAAGCAGCCCTATCACGTTCCACGATTCAAGGAATTCAATCGAAAGCGGTTGAACGATGAAGAGTAATGACAGCAGTTAAAAAAGGCAGTTTTCATGACAAGTTGGCCATTACGAAGGAAGTTGGCAGTTATAGGACGATCAAGCAGTTTTTAGGGCGGTTGATCACAAAGAGATCGTCCATGAAATATAAAAGGAAGGAAAGACATAGAGGCAAGGACCGAATCCAAAACTCTCGAACAGAGAACATGTAATTTTCATTTCCTTAGTTTTTAGATTTAAACACTTTTCTTTCAGTAACTCGTGTGCTTGCGCCCCTTGGAGGCACATTGTTTTTAATTTCCAATTGTAAAGTCATCGCCAATAAAAGAACACCCCTTTTTGGGATTTTGTCTCAAGAGGTTTGTCCCTTACACAATCGTCTGATCCTTTTTAATTGTTAGCATCTAACCCGCGCGAAACAATTTGGCACGCCCAATGGGATAGTGGTGTTAGGTGTTGAAAGTACAAAAGGGAAAACAATATGCCTCA